TTTTCAAGGCTTTCTGCAAGCTACAAGTTTTACATAGAATGTGCACAAAACATGTAGAATGCAAAAATGAACTTTAGTTTTCATCAATTCCCTTTTCTGTTTTCATTGTCTTACAATGGTATTTTACGTATTGATATTTTTTTATATCAATTTTACTTTCAAACAAATACATGTATCATACAAAGGGTCGTCGAGTGGTTGAACTTGGTGTGCTAGCAGCACAGCTACAGAAAGGATGCAAGAAATGAGGGACTGTATTACATCTGTGTGATTGTTTTCAAGAGAGGCATTAAGCCCATTGACCATGACTGCAGGTAAAAAGTTGATAAGTATCAAATGTATAATATATAAAAATAAATATGTAAAGTAAAAAAAAATCAATAGTGATTGAAGGTCACTGCAAAATATTTACATCCACTGAATATTTTCTCCTTTATTTCTTAAGAAACCCCATTGCGTTCATCACTGCATAAACTACAATAGGCTTGTTTTAATCACATCGTTGCATCAAAAAATCCAAAGAGCCTCTTTCTGTCAGGATCAGAAAGTACAAATTTCAGAATCGCTGCAGCTGTTGCACAGAAAAACATTGGAAAGTCTTACATGTATATACAAGAAGTAAGTGTATTTGAATAATCGAAAAAATTATGCAATATAAAATATTCATATACATGTATTCTCATTTCATGTAAATGAGTAATGATTATGTTTACATGTATATTTACAGGTCATTGATGAACTGAATATGTCTCCTGGAGCCTATACAGAAAAGGCGGTTGAAAAGATGGACAGAAAAAGAAAGTTACAGAAGATAAGACAGAGTAGTGCAGAGTACAAGAAAAGGAGATGCCAAATTAGGAAATCCTCAAGTCAAGATCAGGGTTGTAAAGAAGTGCGTGAAGGAAAAACATATGAAACGTCAGTAGGACTAGAGAAAATGGATGAGGAGCAGGACATCAATTCCATTCCAAGTGCCACTGTTGAACCAGAGAGAATACCACTAAGAAATACTGATAGCACATTTGTTTACTTTGACCTAGAAACAACAGGTTTAGGTAAAGTTTTATATATAGACATATATACACATGTATTTCCATGAGACATTGATATATATATACATTTTTTTTTCGAGAGATTCATTGTCTCAGATTTGTCTTATAGGTTCATCAGCAGAAATATTGGAAATATGAGCTGCAAGAGGACAGGATATATTTCAAAAATACATAAAACCCAATGGTACAACATCTGCAAATGCAACTTGTGTGACTGGTCTCCATATGAAAACCCATGAACTTTACTACAGGGATCAAAAACTTGCAACAACAGACTTGAAATCAGCACTCCAAAAGTTTTCAGAGTGGCTATCGGACTCGAATTCTAACATTCTTGTGAGCCACAATGGATTACGGTTTGACTTTCCATTATTTATTCAAAACATTATGTCACAAAATATTGTGATGAATACATGTATTGCCGGCTTTATCGACACTTTGGAGGTTTTTAAAAATTCTGATTTAAAGACACAAACTGGCAGTTTTTCTCAGGAATCTCTTAAGAGAGATGCAGGAATCCAGTCAACAGGGGTTTCTCATTGTGCTCTAACTGATGCTATGGACCTACAAAATTTAGTGAACTTTCATAACATTCGTATCAACACTCTGTTGAGTCAAAGTGTCATGTACGATTATGTTTTACAACATCTAAAGTATTCTTCAGTAAAGAATGACAATTTGAAATCTCTTGACGTCTTAGTCCATGGAAAAGTGATTACAGAATTTATGGCAAATAAAATTGCAAAATCTGGTTTGAATATGAATTATATTAAACTAGCACACACAAGAAATGGTGAAGATGGAGTAAAAAATTTGTTTCAAGAAATTGTAAATGGTAAAGCAAGAGTTACAAAGTGTAAGGAAATAATCAACTCAGTGTCCAGTTATTTGTCAAGTCAGTTGTAAAGAGTTACTTCCCTTTGTTTTTATAATTGTAAAGTTATATGTTATTTTATTTTTTATCTCTCTTATAAACCTGGCTCCACTATGTAAGATATGAATTTTTGTACACCAAATGGCAAAACCTTTATTTAAATTTGTAGAAAAATTCAGAAATTCCATATATACAAAAAATATCTGTGATTATCCTTACATTTTTTGTAATCTTTCGTATAAAATGTCAAAATATTTCTGAACTGTTGGGGTCATTCTTTGTATTTAATTTTTTTTGTATGTTGGTTTATGTAACAATGATGTAGGGCTTCGAGAAATTTTGGAGAAAATAATTTATGTAAAAAATAAACATTTTTTCCCTTTCCTACATATTCCCTTATTTCTATCATTTTTATTTCATTAAAAAAGGTGGCATCCTTGTATGAAAATATTTTTAAAAAATCATTAATGAACTCAGTTATAAAATATATTTCTATAAAGTCCTAAATTATCCTGATTGTCAGTGTTTAGAGCTCCCTTAAAGACTTTTTGAATTGAATTATAAGATAAAGAGTTGTCTCTTCTGGCTGAGGGTCGGAGTCCCTTTATTTCAATACATTGAAATCTATCAAATATTTCGTCCAAGATATTTAAAAATAAAAATATTCTAGAGTACAGTACCAACAAGACCCAACCCGAAACAACGAAAGTCATTGTGACATTTCTATCTAATGAGATCTTTTAACTGAGGTCGTTTATTGCAGAAAGCATTTTCAGGGTAAAGAATCATTACTACCTAATTACACTAGGTGATAATCTAGGTCTAAATTTAAAGCCCTTCACCGGTATGAGGTGACCTCTCTTTATGATTAAAAGATAATTAAATGTATTGCAAAAACAAGATTGAATCAATCTATCTATCAGTACAAATTTTCTTCTCAAAATGTGTATGTTAGTTGAGCATCTATTCCATCCGTCTGTATAAAAAATAATTACTAATACCCTCTGTTAGGATGAAATGTATGTATATAACAAATAGTCTTCAAGATCCAAAATCCCTATTAGAAGGAGAGCAAACACAGACCTCAAAAACATCAGAGACAGGTATCATTGAGGTGTGAGTATCTAAGTTAGGAGTGAGATCCCCCTATTTAATTTATAAACGCTTCCTACTGAGGCTACTATCTTGGATGGCTGAGAATGCTTTCTAGGACGGACACAGCAAAAACTATCCAGATAACAATTTCTAAGACTGCTCTGAGACAGTTTTCATTCAGGTTAAGTCTTCTTTGTAGAGAACCACGGTATTAGTTAAAGTTAACTACAGTGTAATATAGTGTATAAATCTCAAGCTAATAAAGTTTTTCCAGACAAAATCAAAAAGTAGGTTAATCAAAAATCTACAATTTAAAATGCTACATTCTTATTTACTTACATATTAGGACATGATGATTCAGCAAGATAGCAATTGTGCTGTGCATTGATGCTTTGACAGGCAGAATCTAAATGATAATGAATCATTTAATGAAAAAATACTACTTGATAAATCAGATTCATTACAAACAATAGTGTGGCGATTTTAATTTGAACATTTTATATTATTTATGATATAGTTCAAGGATCTTACATTGGTATATTTCATTGCTTCGATATTCCTTTTCAGGACAACCTGATACAAATCCAAGGCAGTTGTTCCAGTAAAGATTTTCTCCATCAGTTTCCAAACAGTTGCCTATTCAAGTATATATTTATGCATACACGTAAGAATTAAAATATATTCTAGTGTATGTCAAAGAATACTTTCTAAGATGCTTCAATTTTCTTTGGTTTTCGTTTGAAACTTAAACCATAAAAATATGTTTTACTCACCTCTTTTTATTAATCCCATGGTTCCATTGTAACAGAGTTCTATAAGTCCTGTTTTGTCTGTGTTAGGGACACAGAGATACTGATCGTTCCCATACTTGTCCTGACCACACCCCAGCCTGGAGGAGGACTCTAAAACCTCTGTGATGTTATGGGGACATGAATCCACATACGTTTCCATTTTTCCTGGAAAAATATTAAAACTTGTAATAAGAAAAAAAATCCTGACAGTTGTCATTTAAATCAAATGTAAAGAACCATTCCCTATATATTTTTTTTATAATATCAATAAAATATGTGGAGATAACGAACATTATACAAGATCAAAAGTCCATTTAATAATACAAAACAGGACCAGAAAAAACCATGGCCTCCAAAACATCAGAGGTTTGATCAGGTGCCATGGAGGTGTGAGCATTCCCTGCTTACCAGTCACTGTGCACCTTGTCATGATCAGGAAAAAATGGGAAAATCTGTCGTCAATTCAGTAAATAAATAATGGACTAACAAGTAGTATGAAAAACTTCAGTCAGCATTTGACTCGTTGATAAATTGTATTTGCTTATAAGATCATTGTATCAACCATAGAACTTACGAAATGATTACTTTGAAGACCCATTTTTTTTTTACCGCACAGTTACCTGAGGAGAGGGAGTGGTCTAAGTAACAGTGATGTTAATTACCTGGAGACCCCCAATACCCTAGATATTAAAACTCTTTGTACATGTAGCATACACAAGAAGTCTGTTTTGGTAATCAGGGTCAACTTTGTGTTTTGTGTTTAATTTCGAGTGAAACTACTTAATTTAATTGAATAATTTTAGAATAATTCAAATCTTCGTTTTATTTATTGATTCCCTGTGTTTTGATTGGTCGAGAACACATTTTAGAAAAAGTTTACACATCGATAATTTTTTCAATCAGAACTACTAGGCTATCGTATAAACAATAAAAGCTCTTAAAGCAGTTATTAAAGGCCTGTTTTTGCTAAATAATTAATGCAATAAACTTCAAATTTCATTAAATAAAACAAAACTGGCGACAAACAGGACTGACCAGCTGACAGACGCCATGAAAATGTTTATGTCACTGTCGGATCAAGTGTGTGAATTTTAAAACTCGCTGATGGCATTTTCTAGACGAAGCAAATCAGCTCAGTTTGTTTAGTTGTGACAGGGAAAAGAAACGTACCCCAAACTCCTGCCTTATTAGCATCAAATTCATATTATTAATTTCTGTATTCTTCCTCAATCTTTGAACAAACCAGTGCAAATCGAAGGCGTCGTCGGTCTGCAACTTTCGCTCTAAGCGTTGTCGTTAAACTTAATGTTAACATGACCATGGTCAAGGAAAAACTATTCTGAGGTAAACTCGGAATTACGATATTTATTGATTAAAACAACGTTCAATCAGTTTTTATAAGTTTATTTATTGATTGTTTTGACAACTTAAGTTTCTGTCAAAATTCATGTCGTTTACGTTTCTTTGCGGTATAAAGTATTTCTATGCCATACAAAAATAACTGATTGTATAGAGGCTTCACATTCAGAGAAATAGTTTAAAATCTATAAAAAAAATTATTATTGGAATTATAAGAATTAAACGTTCTTTTTGAAAAAAAAAAATCAATGTGTAAACTCTTGACATTTTACTCAAAAAACTTACCATAAAAGTTTGCACTTTTATTTAGTTTGTGAATAAAATATGTCGAGAGTTTACACGTCGATATTTTTTTTCAAAAAGAACGTTTAATCCTATAATAAAATTGATTTGTAAACTAAACGCATTCATCGTAACCTTTGAGAGGGGAAAATATAATGAAATATATTGTTAATAATTTGTTTGTAAAATAAAAAAAGAAATGATCATAAATAAAAACTACAAAGCAATCATATCTTCATATTTTCTAATCTCAACAAAAAAGCCACGATTTAATGGGTGTGAATATTTATTAAATTAAAAAAAAATATCCAACGTGGGAACATTTACCGCGATTGGAATATATTTTTATTTTCTGGCACAATATTGTCAAAGATATTCAATATTTCCAAATGTGTTTGTGTGCTAACAAAAAAAATATTGTTTGAAATATTTCCTTTTAAGATCAATCGCTGTTTCTTAGCTTCACCTTTTTCATTACAAATTTATACCGATGTCAGAGAAAATTCGAGCAATAATTCCATCATTTCTTTGCATCGCCTTTTAAAATCGCGAAGATTGAATCCCTTTTACAGAGATAAAACATCGTTCGTAAACCATGGTGTTAGTGCTGGGCTTCAAATTACGGCAAGTAAAAGTTTAAAATAGTTTCTGTGGACGGCCTTAATTCTAAAGCTTCCTCGGACGAAATATTCTTACAAGTGAAGATGGAAAACAGATATTTTATGAAGTCAATCTTTTATAAAATTGTCTGCTCTCGATTATTTCTTTTTTACAAAAAGTTACCAACATTACTGATTTGTTTTTTTACCTGCCCGTATACAAGGTTGTAACATGAAAGTGTTTGACGACTGACCAAGCAATTGTCTTCAAAACATTCAAACTCAGATTATCAGGTAGCACAGTTATCTGATCTGTCAATCAAAATAGAGGCTATTGTTTTTTTTTCAAATGATTGACAGGTGGTAAATTATTGATCTTGAATCAAGTACATTTTTGTTGCGTTAACATATAATTTGGTATCTAAACGTGACTGCTGATATTCTTGTTTTATCAACTTGTTTGTAAATAATGTAAGGTGGTGTACTTATCTTTAAAAATGATTCAGATGTAGAACATACTCTTGCGTTTCGAATCAACTGAGATACATAAACTCTCTATGTAGTAAGGGAAAATATAGTCATCACGTTTATCATAGAGCTAAGTTGATAGATTACCATTTACGTTTTTTTTTTCAAGTAAAATATCTAAGTACAAAATGTACGAAGCTGATGTGTCAGAGTCTGTCGTTTTCTTCATCTGAAGTTCATCAACAGGATATGTCGTATTGACGTAAGAATGGAAATTACAGTTGTTAATTGACGATACGTCATCGATATAATATTATCGAAATGTCGAGTTGAAGGCCACATCAACTGTTTTCTTTTTTTCATGCATAAGATCTTGCACAAATTCTGCTCTCGTATGATAACAAAAATACGTCTGCTAATAACTAGGCACAATTGGTTTCAAGTGGAATTCCAATAAATAGCTGGACGACCTGGTGTCCAAAAACATCATAGATAATGTCAATCAGAAACTCAAGCATGGATGTTTTTGATGTCGACTTCAGAGTACTTCTATGTACAATCAGATTGTTTTTCAACAAAACAAATCGCATGTATGACAAGGCTTCCCAGAGAATATTGAAGTGTACCCTCTGCATGCACTTTTCTGAACTACAAAGGTATGACGTCATAATTGAAAATGACGTCAAGTAACTGCATACTTGAGCTGTAATAATAGGGAGAGTGTCATATACTTTACACCTTATTTCAATCTGCTTATAAAGTTTCAGAATGCTCATTTTTTCAAAAGTCTAATATATCCGAATAATTTAGATAACTTATTACTCTTGTTTAAGAGTCAGCGTTTTCAAACTACGTACGAAAATATACGTTTGAGATTTACCCTTTTTTATACCCATGGACAGCGGCAGAATTCATAATATGTGTATAAATGTGCCTTGCGCAGGTTGTTAATGAAGATTTATTTAATATCTTTTGTAGAACTATGTAAGAGGAGTTCCCCTCCAACAGAATCCTGCTTGGGAAAAATGTATGATGGCTTTGTTTTAAAACAGATGGCGATATTCAGCTAAAAATACCCTCAGATTTGTCGGTAAGTTGAAGTTAATATGAAATAAATTGTTCAAAAGAAATAATCTTACTTCTCCCAAGGACATTTCGGTTTCACAAGGATGATTTTTTAAAATAATGTTTTGTTAATAATATGCACCAAATCGATTTATGTGAAACATTTCAAAAAAGAAGTAATGACCGTGACGTAATGAATAAGGTCGTGTGACATCGTAACAAAGATGTTTATATATAGCCTCGAGGATTCTCTGTATGAATTTGGCGTCCTGAAGTACAAAACCCAAAAATAAAACTCAAAATCATCTTTGCAATGCAGTGTTACGTTTTAAATGGATTTTAAGCTCCGGGAAGCCTTAATAAAACTGCAATTTGCAAATGACTATATAAAAAATTAGAAGGCGACACGAACGTCAGCGTTTTCAAAGTGATATTGTCGGTTTTTTTTATACTCTCCTGTTAAAAAAACATTTTCTAAGCTACTACTGTGGTTATCATGTTTTATTCTAAATCCACTAGGTCACTAATTATTCGATGTCTACCATATTTTATTATACAAAGAAGTTAAAGAATTATGCTTCAAAAATGCTATATCCTTGAATAAAGATAATCTAAATCTTTTATTCTTTTATTTCTTTTTAAATCTTTTAAAGACGTCGAGAATGAATGCATCTTGGTCCATGACACTCTGTCATCTTTTTACAATAATTGATATAAACCCTATCTTCTATCACTGACAATGATAATTAATTTCAATTGAATTTTAAAAAAATTACTGTAAATATCTCCCCCAAAATCCTTCATGATATCAGGGATTTGTCTTCAAAATTGTGTGATAAAAGTTCATTCCTATCTTGTCAATTATTAACATCCTTATGATTCTTTTGAAATTCTAAAATTCTATTTAAAAAGAAAGAAAATAAAAAAAGTGGATCATATATAAACATTCATGCTAATTAAATGCCCGACAGACTGTGTGATTATACCTGAAGAGCTACATTTTTTGCATGCTTTTTACATTGGAATTCTTTACCTACATGAACATTGTAAAATAAAAAAAAAACCATAGAAATACTCATGCAAAATGTTGCAGACGCAGCAGTGTTGACGTTCTTTTTTTTTTATTTTTATCTATTTATTTTTTTTTTGGCATAAAACAGATTATTCAATCTGATTTACCGTTTCAACATGTCCGTGTATCCTTTTTTCTGAATTTCTACACTACTGCATCAGTCCATTTATATTATTCAAAAGGAATTAATCGCTCTTTTTGCGCCAAATGTCAATAGTAAACTTTCTTCGCTTCTTTCCATTGGATTGTTTTATAGTGTGAATGGATGTGCTACAATGTAATCTCCATGAAATTAAATCAAGTTTGTGCTTTAACTTCATTCTTATGCTTCAGAAATTCTATATACAAGGTTTATCTCATTCTTGAAAACAACATATCGTATACTGTAAACGTGGAAATTTTGACGATGTGCTAATTTTGACTATATTGACGATTCTTCTTTTCTCGTCAAAATTTACACTCGTCAAACTTCTTATCATATACATAGAGACACAACAGACATTGACCATTGTACAACTTTACCACTAAATTTTAACAGCTTTTTCGTTTGACAATGAGATCAAAGTCACTGTTAATTTCTTTTCC